CAGACGAGACAGAGGAAGGAAACACGCTCCCCATTTTATAGATGGGAATTCAAAGCCTGGAGAGATGCACAGACTTGTCCTGGGTCATACAGGGAGCCAGGAACTGAGCCCAGATCTCACACATGCCCAAGTCCAGTGCCTCCAGCACCAGACCACCCTTCCCTCTCTGAATGGTGAACGTCAATGCTGCCTCCTGCTCAGCGTGTCCAAATCCAAGTGAATCTCCCTGCCCCCAAGGCGAATCTCCCCCAATTTCAGAGTTTTCGCTGAGGAAGGGACGGATGATCTGACCCTTTAAAAGTGATGTGCTCAGCTGCCCTTCAAAGCATGTATGGCGGATGTTCAAAGCGCTCCTGCTGGGACCCCCGACATCCGTATGTGCAAATCAAGTTGTTCCCCCCCGACTCACATGCACAGTAAATCCCCGGGAGGGGCCCTTTCCAATTAAGGAAGTTTGGTTCTTTTGCAACGGCCCCATAGCCTCTCCTGGCCCTGGAGCAGGCCATCGTCATCATTACTATGATCCTGGCATCAGAACCACCCACTCCTGGTCCAGGACTTAGTGCACTATTCTACCCAGCCTCACAGAGCTGCCCCTCCCTGGGGCCAGAGGTCACACTGGCGACTCAGCGGCTGGCAGCAGCTGGCAAGGAGTTTGGACAGCACTACTCTTGTAGCCATAAATGCAGCTAGGTGCTTAGAAACCCCCAGGCCATCTCCGGGCAGCTGGGGATGTGAGGGGCACACGTGTGAAGAAAGCCTCTCTTCACAAGGGAAAGGGCAGTGCGAGTCACTGACCCCCTCAGTCAGACTATCCCAGAACAATCCACAGCAGCTTTAATGTTTCCCTCTTGAAATGGCCTCACTCCTGCAGAATGGTTTGGCAGCAGGGTCCGAACTGAATTTCCTGTCCAAGCCTCAAGTGGGAGCGGCAGGCTCTTTGCACGTCTATAATCCCTTACACACCCACCTGGATTTAAATCACTGGGGAGTACTCTGTGAACATGCCCGACAGAGAGTCTACTAGCATTGCCAGCTCTCCAGGATGGTCCTGGAGTCTCCAGGAGTTAAAGATTATTGAAACCTGCAGGAATACATCCAACCAAAATTGGCACCCCTAGATTCTATCCAGGCACAAGTCTGCAAAGTGTGAGCTCTTTGATAATGCAAATGAAATCTATTCATTACTTCCCAATCTACCTATCACAGTGAAGAACAGAATTGTCAGACACATGGATGAATTTAATATGTTGGGGAGGAGTCAACAAGGCTTTTGCAAAGGGAAATTACACCTCACCAATCTTAGCATTCTGAGGATGTCAGCAAGCACGTGGACAAGGGTGATCCAGTTCATAAAGTGTACTTGGGCTTTCAAAAAGCCTCTTAAGCAAAGTAAGCTGTCATGGAATAAGAGGGAAGGTTCTCTCATGGATCAGTAACTGATTAAAAGACAGGAAACAGAGGGTAGGAATAAATGGTGAGTTTTCACTGTGGAGAGAAGTAAACAGTGGGGGCCACAGAGGATCTGTACTGGGATCAGTGCTGTTCAACATATCCATAAATGATCTGGAAGGGGATAACCAGTGAGGTGGCAAAGTCTGCATACGATACGAAATTACACAAGATAGTTAAGTCCAAATTTGACTGCCAAGAGTTAGAGGGATCTCACAAAACTGGGTCACTGGCCAACAAAATGGCGGATGAAATTCAATGTTGATAAGCGCAAAGTAATGCACATTGGAAAATATAACCTCAACTATACATACAAAATGAGGGGGTCTAAAGTAGCTGTTACTACTCAAGAAAGATCTTGGAGTCATTGTGGATAGTCCTTTGAAACCTGCTCAGTGTTCAGCGGCAGTCAAAAAAGTGAACAGAACGTTAGCAATAATTAGGACAATATCATAATGCACTATATAAATCCATGGTACATCCATACCTTGAATACTATGTACAGTTCCGGTTGCCCCATCCCCAAAAAGATATATTAGAATTGGGAAAGGCACAGAGAAGGGCAACAAAAATGATGAGGGGTGTGGAGCAGCTTCCGTAGGAGGAGAGATTAATAAGACTGGGACTGTTCAGTTTAGAAAAAAGATGGCTGAAATGTGGGATATGATAGAGGGCTAAAAAATTATGACTGGTACGGATGAACTGGGGACAGTGTTAGTCACCCCTTCACATAACACGAAAACTAGCGGTCATCCAATGAAATTAATAGGCAGCAGGTTTAAAACAAACAAAAGGAAGTATTTCTTCACACAACGCACAGTCAACCTGTGGGATTCGTTGCCAGGGGATGTTGTGAATAGCAAAATTATAACTGGGTTCAAAAAAGTAGTAGATCAGTTCATGGAGGGCAGGTCCATCAATGGCTGTTAGCCAAGAGGGTCAGGGACACAACTCCATGCTCCAGGTATCCCTAAACCTCTGACTGCCAGAAGCTGGGACTGGATGCCAGGGGATGGATCACTCAATAATTGCTCCGTTTTGTTCATTCCCTCTGAAGTATCAGGCACTGGCCACTGTTGGAAGACAGGATACTGGGCTAGATGCACCATTGACCATACAGGGTCAGACTATTCTTGTGTTCACACACACGTGCATAAGCAATAGGGGCCAATCAGAGACACCACTTCAAACCAAAGCCAAATGCCCTTTCCAATGGCACATGGCTCCAGGTATAACCCCCTAAAAGGAGTTCGTGTTTGACCACTCAACGAGATGCAGCACATCACATTGGCACACTGGGAACGACTGGCAATTTGTCCTGTGTTTGTACAGCGCTTGACACAATGTGTCCTAGCTCTTGACTGGGGCTCCCAGGCACTGCCGCAATCCACACGAAGAATGAAGGCGGACTAACCACGCTAGCACTGGGGACACCCCCAACGCTTGGGTCTGCTCCTCTGCGGGCTGGGGAGCAGCGGCAAGCTGCTCTTTGGCTGGAAGCGCAGCTGCCTCAGTTCAGGCTAAGCCCTTCCCTGAATGAGAGTACGACAGGCAGATGGAGCAATGTGATTGTGGACTCATCAGCCCCCCAGCATGGCTGCATGCAGAGAGTCGCCGCAAGGCAGAGGAGCCAGAACTCTCTGTTGCTAACTCCAAAAATTCAGACGTTAGGAGAGAGATCCCCCTAAAATATCCCTCCAGCGTGTGAGACACAAACTTTTGCCATCTATAGTAATGTAATTTCAGCCCGTGCTGCAGGAACTCCCAAGATCCAGGCCCCATCGTGCTAGGCACTGTACAAACATGCTGTACAAGACAGTCCTTGCCTCCAGCTTACAGTCTAGTGCAGGGGTGGCCAACCTGAGCCTGAGAAGGAGCCAGAATTTGCCAACGTACATTGCCAAAGAGCCACAGTAATATCTCAGCAGCCCCCCATCAGCTCCCCCACCCCACCCCACCCCGCCGATCAGCGCCTCCCGCTCCTTCCCCGCACCTCCTGAGCAACTGTTTCATGGCATGCAGGAGGCTCGCGGCGGGGCGGGGAGTGGGGCAGACCAAGGACAGTGCAGGCTCAGGGGAGGGGGCGGGAAGGGCGGGAGTGGGGGCAGGGCCTGTGGCAGAGCCAGGGGTTGAGCAGTGAGCACCCCCCGGCACATTGGAAAGTTGGCGCCCGTAGTTCCAGCCCCAGAGTCGGTGCCTGTACAAGAGCCGCAAAAGAACTTCTGAGGAGCTGCAGGTTGGCCCCCCCGACCTAGTGCAAAACATAGGGGTGCGTCTGTGACATGGCTCATTAAAGCAAACCCATTAAGGGCCACCAAATATCCAGTAGGTGGGAACAACCTTTAATTCCTACTGAGCTGGGCAGGATTCATACTGGTGGCTGCTCAGTGAAATGCTCCATAACTTATTAGCAATGCCCGGTGGTATCCTGTTCCCTCCAATGCTAATGTTACCCCATGGGGAATGCCCCTGTCCAGCTGGGTGTACTGAATGCCCCTTGGAAAAGCACATTCACTCTAGTGCCCCTCTCCTCCCAGTCGCCTCCCCACAAAGGGGCCCAGCAGTTTGGAGACGGTTTTGCTGAGGTGAGCATCTGCAGCAGTGCACTACAAATCTTGTCTGTGCTGTTACCAGGATTCAGAATTCTGATATAGCCCCACGTCCACAAATCCCCTCACTTTCCCCTGCTCCCCTCCCCGCACAGCCCCTTCTCCTCCAACTGCCCGGCACATGGCCCCCTCCTGTCCTCTAACCCTCCACTGCCCCTTTTATCTCCCCCCGACACACTTTATTCCCCTTATCCTGTCCCCAACACATGCACGTTGACCCCTTATCCCCCCCCACACTCACCGCCCCTCCATCCCTTCTCTTGTGCACACACTACACCAGATTTGCCAGCAAGAAAAAGCAGAGCTCTGTCTGCAATTCAGAAGAGCCCAAACTCCCTGAATCTGAACACGGATTTCATAGGTGGCCCATTTTTAACTGGCTCAACCCCAAACTTTGGACACAGATCCACATTTTGCAAAATGGCCCCTGTGTTTATAATGGGCTCAACCCAACCTGTAGCTCTGAACACCTTGGGCCATCTTAGTTGCAAGTTCCCTATGCCCTCTCTGCTGGCACAGTTCATCTTTCCCTGGCTAGCAAGAGGCGGAATGAAAAAGAGCAACCCTTAGAAACCTGGGACAACTTTTGTTAATCCCACAACTCAGACATCATTGCTGCTGTGTGTGTGAGGTAAACACAGCACTTCACATATTTTAATAAGGGAACCCCCTTGCCCCCAAACAACTGCACAACTCTGCAAAACAAACCTGTCTGATCAACCAGTGCCATTTCCAAGCAGCACAAACGAATGAAAATACACGTTTAAAAAACAAAACAAAAAGGAGATACATACAATAAGCAATCCACCTCAATCTGTCCTGTGCCTACCTGTGAGAGAAGCCCTGTGCCTCATTTAACTGTTCCCCTTTGTTAATCAATAGCAAAAAAATTAGAGCAAGCGCCACACTAAAGAACACAGATAAATTAATTCCACAAACCTCATTAGTGCTGTGTCTGATTCAAAGTCCAAATACTCTGCAACAATCCAAATAGCAGTCACCCACACAGCAAGCCAAGAAATTCTTTTGAAGGCAAAAGGGGAATTTCACTGCTTCACTGCCACCAGCAGACGTCCACACTTAGCCTGTTTATTTTATTTTTTGATCCCCTTTCTCTCTTTTCCATTCAGTTGCCAAGTTTAAATCCTCAGGGTGGGCAGGCAGCTCATGAACTTGACATACCTTTGCAGGGATCTCTGTCCCCTCTGATCAAATATTGACTTCTCTTCCTCCTCTTTCTCTTAGAAATGATTCCCTCTGTCTGTCTCTCTCACCAGGGGTGTAAGGGGAGGAGGAGAGAGGGTGAGGATAGCTGTAGTGGGATCCCTTTTCCAGAAAGGGACAGTTTTATTCCAGCTCAGGTAGAGGGTAAGGGGAGGCGCCTGTCACTCAGTCTGGCATTCCTTCAATTTATGCACACCTGTATGGGCAAGAACAGCGAGGTCAGCTAAGCACTCTCTCCCTCCTCCCCACCCACAGGAAAAGGGCTGGGAGCTGAGACATAGCCCAGCCCAGTTACACTTCATGAACAAAGATTTACAGAAGGGATTGTTTGGAGAAGGAGGGGGGTTGTGTCTCAGCCTTTGCTTTAGAAACCCGGACGAGCGCAAAGCCAGACACTTATTTCAGGGCTGAGTGTGCCATCCAGGGCTTACAGCTTTGCACCACCCAGGGGCTGGCCCTAGATTGCTTTGAATTCCCCACCTTCCGTAGTTCCTTCTGTCTGGTAGGAACTTTTCCTCCAGACTTCCTATGCTAGGCAAGCTGAGATAATATTGTATTGCAGAATTCAGGTCCCAGCAGCTCCCTGCAAAAAAAAAGGCCAATCAAGTTCCAGCAGGGACAACCATCACCCCTTCCCCATCGCCCCCATCTCTTTTCATGTCTGGCTGACAACAATTAATGGTCAGCATCCTCCATTTGCATCCTGAATGGGAGAAAAAGCCCTCAGACCTCAAAGGCACTACTGCTAGAAGCAAACCAGGGTTCCCAGGAGCAACATTTCCATGCGGTAGTGTAATCGGGACCCACCCACGTCCCTGATCTGTGCTAAGGCTTAGACGGGCCAAGGCTTTAACACTGTAAGGTGATTCTGGTCCTGGCTGCAGCTCTTGCTGGTTGTCTGATGGTGTGGAGCTTCCAGCTTCTCCCCAAGCCCCACACTTCTAACTAATTAAGTATTCCCCAACCCAATTAATTATACAACTTCCAGCTACGGCATCGTTTTTGCTCCCTCAGCCCACCTTCTACAGCTCCCTGGGTTCTTCACCCCCCTCTCCCAACCTGGGGCGGGGGGACCAGCGGCAATGGGGTTCCTCTTGCCCCCTTTCCAGGGTGGCGGGGGCAGCTCCAGGAGCGCTTCACTGCTCCGCCTCCCTTCCTCCTGCAGCATCTCTGATTGGCTGCTCTTTCCCCAGAGGCAGGCAAGCGGGGAAGACAGCCAATAAGAGGGGGTTTCCTCTGGGCAGGGCTGGAGCTTCTCCTGTCATTGGGCTACTGGCTCCAGTAGAGGTCAAAATTGCATTACTTGTGAGAAGTAGCTGCGCTACCTGGGCTGAGCTGGGGGAGCACTGAGCATACATGAAAGAGTCTCCCTGCCTGCCCTTGATACCGCTGCCCCAAGGATCACCACCAGCATGCAGGAGCAATGCAGAAAGAGTCTTGCTCTGCCCCGAAGCTGCAGGATGGAGCATGCTCAGTCATCCTTTGGGGACCGTGTAGCTTGGGGCGCTGCATGAGGATGGAACATGTTTAGTGTGGACGGGATCTTTGAAAAATAACGCTGCAAACCTCAGAGCCTGTGCTAACTGTGATTGTTCAGAAGCTCATAACTTGGCCAAATTTGGGCAGATATTCACAGGGAGGGCGAAAGGCACATCCCTGCCACTAGGGCCACCCCCTTGCCAAAATTTCAAGTCACTGCTCCAAAGCATGGAGACATTAGAGCTTCTCAGCAAAATGGGTGTAAGAACTTACCCTTATCAAAACAATGTCAATTTCCCTAACCTAGGGAAGGGTTGAACCATTTTTACAGAAGCTTCCCAAAAATATTTCAGTCAGAGGCAAACAGGCAGCATGGAAGATTCCTATCTGAATGGTTAAAAGTTGGCAGAGTTATAAGCAACTGAAAACAGGAATGGGATGTGTTCACAAATTTAACTATAGACATCTCTACTACTGACACCTATTACAATGCATGTGTCATGAGTTCACGTGAGGAAGTAATGGGACTGAGGTTGCAGGGATTACATGGCATAACAGTTTTCTATCATGGAGTCTGAAATGCAGTGGAAGGTGGATTTTATAGGTACTGGAGCCATTTTGGTTTAGTTTAAATGTATATTTCCCTGTGGAATTGGCTGCTTTCCCTATGTAAATAGGGGGATCAGAATTCTATCCTTCTGAATAGTCTATGGGAGGTTCTCTTAAGGTTTACCAAGTCTGGATAATTGGGCACCTAACTCTCCCCTGTACAAGTCTCAAGATTCTGGCCCTTTGCACAGGGATATGAAAGTCACTGGATCTTTGGGCGCTCTGAACAGTGCTGTTCCTAGAGAGCTTTTCTTTCAGAAATGGATGGGATGACAGAGGAAGGTGGTGTTTTAATAACTCTGGGAACAGGCATCCTTTTCTGTGGCTGAACATGGGAGGACTCTGGAGGAACCACTTCTAGGGTGAAAATAGTTTATTCCCAGGGCCCATTCAGTCCTTACTTTCTCTGCTGGGATTTCTCAGGGTGCCAATTGCTACCACTTAGGTGTGGGGTGTTTTTTTAATGCCACACCAGCCTGCTCAGTGTCTTGCCTCCTTACACAGTACACCCAGAGTGACAGCCCTTGGATTCTCACTTTGTCAGATCATACCTTGTGTTTCTCTTAGAGAAAAACATTCATTAGCACAACAATAAAACACAAGCCCTCTTTTGCCTTACATGATCAAACAAAATTTTACTGAGGATTTTTTGTAAGAAAAGATCAGTTTTGTACCAGAAGATATGTTGACGAAAACCAACTGGCAGCATCCTTTATAATGTCATCTCAAGGGAATTTCAGCAGCACGCACTCTGTATCCAGATAAATAAATGTTTTCATTCCAAAATTAGTTATAAACTATAATTATGTATGTAAAGAGCTTAGAATGAAAGGAATTCTCTCTCCTACGTATGTAAGAGTGGAAGTGAGAACAAACACTGATGATCATTGAAATGTGGCCACCTCTGGGGTGGGCAGACCGTAGTCAGGTGGACCACAGGCACATGGCACAACAGCAAGAGGACGAGAAATGTTGGCCAAGGGCTGCAGGACAAACCCCTACTCTGGCTTAAGGCCCTATGGGGACTTTAACATCCACACAGAGCTGATAGGACCTTGGTTTTGTAAAGTCTCAATTAACTGACCTGCAAAGAGAAACCAGGAAGAAACTGTATTTACCTCTCAAAGTTTGAGGGACTTTGATGAATCTGCTGGAATTAGAACCAGTTGCTCCAGGAAGTCTCATTACATCAATGCGGATGCTTTGACCACTAAGAAAGGCTCTCAGCTCTGTCTCTGCCCCCTGCCATGTGTGTACAAGCCACTGCCAACCTAAAGTAAAGGAATCTGAACTTCAGCAGAGTGGATGCTGGATGATTGTTCCTCCAAATTCAAATACAATAGCAATGATGAGCTCCATAAGGCCATCGGGACAGAATTAGAAATTGGGACAAATTGACATTTAATGGAGAATGCCTACTCCAGGTCCACATCCTTTGTGCTTCTGAGTAGCCTCCTCTCCTTTCTGCCAATTGCTGGGGAACAAGTTTCTCTGACCACAGTTGGTACTCAGAAGCTGTCAGAGCCAAGCTATGGCTTAAATTATATACGGAGGAATGTCAGTGTAATGTTCAATAGAAAAGGTCCAAGACACAAACACACACTCTCCATCTTGGGGGACTTTGAGACAGAGAAAGAGGGAGGGAGGGGAGAGAAAATCCTATTTCTAGGAAACCGCTTCTCCCCCCCATGAATTCTGCAGACCACTGGGCTAATTCAATGCCTCATGCCTTCATCTTTGGACTCAACTAGGATTCTAATGCAGAGAATCTTCCTCCTGATGTTTCAGTCTCTCTTCAGTACTGAGACCACACATGGCTGCTGTACAAAATAAAATAAGTAAGATACAAGATAATCAGTAGGACCCACTTCCTGCTACACACCTAATCACAGCAACTGCACTGGAAGGGGATGTAAAGGCTGATGGAAACCAGGTTCTACTGTAGTGATGTTAGAGCGTTCTCAGCAGAGGGCCCTCAACTGTGCTGTGCCTTAGCACCTGAGATGAGGCTGTATCAGCCTCTTGATACTATTGGGATGGGATGCAAGACATCTATTCCAATAGTAGGGAATGCAAGATCAGCCCCTATTGTGCGCTCTAGTTTAGAATCATCTTAAGTAGAGACTTAAATCTGACAAGAGGAGCAGAGAGATTTGTTCTTTTTTGGAAGACTTAACTTGTTTTAAAGCGATCAGTTTAGTATCCCTAAAGCAAGAGAGACCTTGGGACTGCATATATAAGATTCATAACATCAACTGGCATGAATTATGGAGGGTGGAGTTTGCTTTTGAATGCCAGCAGAGCCCATCAGGTGAATGTAGCCTGGTGGTGTACCTTAGTGCAGAATGCAGTTCTGTCTGCAGTAGCACACAGTTCTCATTCCTTCGGGATGTTTTCCTCTCTCATGTCTTCAGCTGGCTCACTGAATGTTTCAGGCTGGTGGCCTGATGGATCTTAACTTTTCCTCCAGCGATTTTCTTTCCTCTCAAACGAATTAACAATCCTGTCTTTCGCATTACAACCCGCATTGGAAGAGTCCCAGAGAGACGCTCTTTGAACCTGAACAAGCAAACTGAAGGTTCCATAAACAAGACACGAGATAAGGGGCTGAATCATCAAGAAAATAATCCTCATGGATCATACAGCATTGAAAAGAAGAACACACACAGCTACCTGGAAATGACTAAGTGTCTAGAGACACTCCTTTTCTGCATGCTTATCAAATAGAAAACTCTCCTATATCAAGCCATAGCCCATGAAGTCTTTACCCAAAGGAACGATCATGCAGACTCATTCAATTATCTGGCTTCCCCGTCCTGGTGAACATTTCATGTCGAGTCAATTTAATGTTCCCATTCAGTGATGCTGATTGGAAGTTACCAGCACTCAGAATTACCCAGATCAGCAATCTGCTCATTGCTGGTTTTTTAAATGGAAAAAAGTGAACATGAGTTTATAATGAGCCATTACAAAAAAGAGTAATAAAGTCAGGAATCGTATATTTTACAAGTTTCACATTGTTTCCATTGTCCCAGTGATACCACATACACTCCTGAGTCTTGCAATAAAAGGAGAGAAAACAGGAGTTCTAAATGGCCTGTAAACTTTACTGGACTCCAGAATGCCAAAAGTTAGTTGTATGCAATCCTAGAGAGAAGGGAGAACACTATGCTTTTGTAGTAACCACTGGCAAGGAGGGAGCGGCTGGAGAAAGACTATTCATGTGGGGCCAGATCCTCAGCTGGAAT